GCTCTGGCGAGCACAACAACAAGCAACAATCACTGGTTAGATTATCAAAGAAAGGGACACAGTGGTCCTCAAAGTTCACAAAATCACAGTCAAAAGTCACTCTTAAGTCACACACTAAATATAAAGTCTCTGTAGACCGTAGCTCTCTTACTTGAGCGTCCTACAGCGGGATGAAAGATGCTGTCCTTGGTGTGGTAGAAGAGGGATCAGCTGAGTTGACTCGGTTGATGAAACGGGGCCTTGGTGGCTCCGTCTTCCTCGGGAGAAAAAGGGGATTTCTCCAAACTCTGCAGATGCTGAGGAACGGCTGGGTTGCGTGGCGTTCCTCTTGTGCTCCGTGTAGTGTTAAAAATAAAAATAAAATGTGTCTTTCCTCGTCCAGCGAGTCAAGAAACAAAAGGGCGGCCTAGGTCGGTCAAATTCAAACGTTTGAGGTGCTCCCTAGCAGTAACTTGCACACAGAAAGCTTTGGCTTCCTTCCAGTAACTTATCATTCGGGGATTGCGAGGGGCATCAGTGCGCAGAGGCAATTAAAGTCTCAGTGACGTCATAGGGGATTCCGTCTGACTCCACCTGAACCTGGCTGCTGTCGTCCAATAGGGAGGAAGAGTTTGAATTTCAAAAGTGATTTACACTTTTATAGCTACCGGACCGATGGAAGATTGGCACATTTACTTTGTTCTTAGACTGGCTGGTTTTGTCAAGGCCTCTTTATTGTTTAAAACCTGTGGCTGAGGTCCCAACATCGTGCGTAATTACGCACGACGAAGAAACATCTGGCAACACACTGGAGCTCAAAGACTCAGATGGACAAGGTGTAACTACAGGTGAGGGAGGCGGGTCGGTGAGAGGTGAGGAAGGAGTATCCATCCAAACCAGTCTGCCAGCAAGGCCGTTGCCTAAAATTAAATGCACACCATCAATAGGCAAAGCCGGCCGCACCCCAACAGCCACTTTTCCCTTAACCAGCTCACCGTCAAGGAACATTTTATGCAGCGGAACAGGGAGGATTTTTAACCCCATCCCCGACTGAGAACACAGTCACCAGTGTCAGACTCTCCAGACAAAGGCAAAACAGAGTCAACAATGTAGGAATCATAACGCTGGAATTCCACTGGATGCTGGTCCGTTGCGGAATGGCTGCACTGGTTATCCGCTACGTGCTCCGCTGTCCGTCAACACCCACTGGCTGCGTTTGCTGTGTTGAGCGTTGCCACTCTGCCGGAAAGCGGGAGTCACGAGGTCCCATGAGATCTTACGAATTCACGAATAATTGCATGATATAACAAGATGTAGTTTCTATAAACAGAACCACAAAACCAGAGGAGTAGTAGGAAGACATCTTGGTGCACCTGACCTGTTGACTTCAGGCCTGCCTCTGCCCATTATGACGTTTTCAAGGTGTAGTGCAGGGAAATACCAGCTGGCAACAGCAGTAACAGGACTGACAAGCCAAAAGCTCCCTCCAAAAGAAACAGGTAAGTAACCCAAAACCTTTTACAAAGCCATAAACAAAACTATTTACTTAGCCTGCAAAGGCACCCGAAACGTAAAAGTCCTTCCCTCAAACAAACAAATGAGCAGCCACCTGCACCAACAACCAAAACTCCAGGCGCAAGCATGAACTACAAACTAATTAGGCACACATGTGCCAAATCAGACTGCAGCCCAAACAGCCCCTTGCCAAGCTGCCACAAATTTACTAATCAAACAAACCCAAGGCTGCAACCACTAAACTGCACAACTAGGTATTAAACACAATTACACCGATTAAAGCTTACCCAGATGCAGAATAAACGGGAAAAACGTGGCACGAGCCCCCATTTGTCATATCCCTGGCTCGAGAGTTTATGGCAAAGAAAGGAAAAAGACTCAGAATACGAGTAAATTAAGTGATTTATTAAAGTAAACAAATATTAACGAATGAGATAAAGAATGAGATGTGTTAAGCCAGTAGGATCAGTAGTGCGCATGTGGGTGTGTGAGAATGTGCTGCATGGTGTTGTGTGTACAAAAGGATCAACAAAACCAACCAAGCACTAGTGTTGCACAGTATACTGGTACCAGTGGTAGACCGCGGTACTAAAACACCACGATACATGATACCATAATGTTGGGGTACCGTAGTACTATGGAACCTCACGGTACCACTACCGTGGGATAAGTTCAAAGTCCAGTCGCAAGAGGGTGAGTGTCCATGCACTGTCCGGTAACGGCGCACGTTGGCCACCTGGCACTCAATATGCTGCTGCAGTGGTTTGTTTTTCAGTGACATTTCAGGTATTAGCTGAGCTATTGAGTATCTTTAAGCAGTGAAAGTTATTATTTATTTCTTTTTACTTGTAGGCTAGATTTGTTTATATTATGCTACAGTGATTTGTTTTCCACAGAGCATTTTACTCGCATTTGCGACTAAAAATAGTTTTGTGTGAGCAAAAGAAAACATTCAGGAGCATGCTGTGCGAGGACGGATTCCAACCAGCAGCAGAAACGAAAGGCGAATCCTGCTGGTTGTGGGTTGAACGGGGGTCACCTCTGCCGTATTCCGGTCAAATACGGCGGCCATAGTGCTCCGTGGTGCAAGAAAACGGCTTACTGGTGACCGAGAAGCCCGGCTCCAGGTCCAATAATTTCCTCTTTGTTGGTGTCATGACTGCCCAGAAATACCTGAACAGCTGAGCCGTGGCGACACACAGGCATGTGACGTGTCAGAGGGGAAACGAGCCGTTCACATTTCTCTCTTTGTGGCAGGTAACGGTCCACAAACCTCACCGCGCTTAAGGGACTGTTCTTAACTTATCAGAGGAGGAGGGTGACTGGTTGATTTTTATTTTATTTATTCATTTTATTTTGATCCCCCCCTATGTTAATCAGTTATTGATGCTGTTTTTGAAGTATGAATAAGTCAGTAAGTAATTTATTCCATTGAAATATCATTGATGTATTATGGAAGAGTGATTCATCTTTTTATAAATGACAAAAGGCACATCTGCCAAATTTTTGCTGTGGTATTGTGATACTACTCAGAACTGTGATACTTTCACTGGTATCGTACTGTGGGTCCCAATTTTGGTACCATGACAACACTTTGAAGCACTGGAGCTTCGGCCTTTTATCTTCTGGAGGAGCACCTAGCCCAGGTGCTCCAGATCAAGCAATCAGGCTACACCTCAGAGAGAAAACACAGAGAGAGGGACTGAGAGACAACGTACAGAACATACAGGCCAGGGCCATCACACTGCCAGAACACGTGCGGCCGTGTTCTGGATCAGCTGGAGAGTTTATACAGATTTATCAGAGCAACCTTATGATGGGGATTGCAGTAATCCAGTGTAGAGGTAACAAAAGCGTGGACCAGTGTTTCTGCATCTGTTTGGGACAGGATAGGCCTAATTTTTTGCAGTTTTACACAGATGAAAGAAGACAACCTGTGAAGTTTGTTTTCTATGGGAGTTAAAAGACAAATCTTCACAATCATCTCAAATATTACTCCGAGGTTTCTTACAGTAGTGCAAGAGGCCAGAGCAATGCCATCCAGAGAAACTATATCTTCAGATAGAGAGTTTCTGAGGTGTTTGGGGCCAAGAACATTTACTTCAGTTTTGTCTGAATTTAACATAAGGAAATTGGAGCTCATCCAGGATTTTATGTCTTTAAGGCATGTTTGAAGTTTAGGTAATTGATCTGTTTCTTCTGGCTTTATCGATATGATAGTGTATCATCTGCAGAACAATGGAAGTTTACAGAGTGATTTCTAATGATGTTACCTAAGGGAAGCATATATAAAGGGAATAGAATTGGTCTGAACACAGAACCTTGTGGAACTCTGAAACAAACTTTGGTATGCAAAGACGATTCGTCATGAACATGAATGAACTGAAATCGATCGGATAAATAGGATTTAAACCAGCTTAGTGCAGAACCTTTAAGGCCAATTAAATGTTCCAGTCTCTGTAGCAGAATTTGATGGTCAGTTGTGTCAAATGCGTTTTATATATATATATATATATATATATATATATATATGTATGTATATATATACATGACAGCAGCGAAAGTTTAATGTTTCCACGGCAAAGGGTACAACGGTCTCGAGGGCTGTCAGTCAGTCGCTTGCAGTCTCTGCCCTCGCAGACATATTGATCATGTCTAATATAGAAGTGTTAACTAAAGGTAAGACTTCCTTAAGTAGCCTTCGAGTGTGAGCTCTGGTGAATTCCATGCCCAAAAGGTCTTGTGTTGTTCGCAGCGAGCCTGCAGCACTATCAACAAGATAATCAATTTGGGAGAGTTTTAAGTCAGTACAGGAAACCTCTGTTACAGTTGGACATGGTATTAAATTTAATGTCGATGGAATAATTTCCTTCAATTTTGATACAGCACTATCAGATAAACATCTAGTATAGTAGCTTCTGCTGAGTGGCATGTAATTGAGTAGTAAGACATCAAAAGTTAACCTACTTACTTACTCAAGTTTACTTGAGAACAGATTTTCAGTACTCTACCCACCATTGGTGCTATGGCAAAACTGATATATGACTCGTGTGGATTGATAACGAGAGACGAAAGAAACCTAAACAAACTGGCAGTTTGTTGTTGTTGTTGTTGTTTCTGGAGGATTCTCATTTCAAAAAGCAACAATAGGCATGGCCAAATTGAGGAGACTACGTCATTGCTTCCATTTTACATGCCCACAGGGATCTAAAATGACCAGAAGAAATAATTTGCACCTTAGACGGCGTTTTTAAAAATCGGAGTTTGAGTGACCTAAAACTCTGTTTGGATGTGGATGAGAGGCCAAAATGTTGAGGAAAATACCTGTTTTCAAAAATAGCTTTATACATGGAGACTGAGCCTGAATGTTGCCCCACATGACATTTAATTTTGCTTTGCAAACTAATGGAAGTCCCCTACATGTAGAATATTTTATTTATATAAAATAGAGCATTGCCCATAAATCCATGATTATTCGAACTGACATGAGCTTTATGTTGTCACAGTGAGCAGTCTTACATGGAAAGTGTTGTGACCTTCCTGCAGGATGTGGTCCCCCAGGTAACTTCCTCCATCATCTATTCTCTCATACTAACAGCTGTTACAAGTCCTAATTTCCCACTACTGTACTGATTTTAATAAGTATAGCCCATCTGGAGTATGTTGTTGTTTTCATACTAGAAAAGTGACAAAATTAAGTATGCTCAACAATGTCAGTATGCAAACACATAAATTTTGTAGTGTGCTGTTGATGAACACTGTTGTTCCACAATGGAATGCACAAAAGAAATGGTGGAGGTACACACAGTTCCAGAATAAATTGCAGGTGTGGTGAGAGGGGTTGTCAAATATCGATTAATTAATACATATCAATTCAGAATACTTGAAATGATTTCAGTTTTCATTTCCCACATTATTGATACACCGCTAATAGCTACGCTTTCTCACTCTCTTTTACTGTTAATATGTCTTGCAGTCATTCTACTGTTCTCTGCTACTAACTTAAAAAAAGTTGTTATTTTATAGCCTTAATAAATTTTTATCTTTTAATGCAAAATGTAATTTTTATGCTCTCAATGTTATTTTTTCCCAGGGTATCCGAATTGGTATCGAATATTGATATTTCTCAAGATATTGTATTGAAATTAGAAGTTCCAGTAGCATGACAACACTGGCGTTTAACACAGCTCCAGAGAGATTTCAGAAAACAAAATAATGAACCCAAAATAAAAATATTTTGACATCCATTTTGCCACTTTAATTCCAGGGTTGCTGTTTGATTGATCTCTGACAGTGCACTGTTAGTATTAGGGGTGGGAATCTTTGGGCACCTCACGATTAGATAACGATTACGATTCAGGGGCTACGATTCGATTATAAAACGATTATTGATGCATCTTTAATTTATATGTATTGATGCACTTTTTCCCAACACACATTTCTTTTTGTCTCACTGAATAAGCATTCAACACTTGCAATTTTTAAAAACAGTGCATTTGTAATAAGAAACAGTTGAATTCATTTCCATTATATTTTAGTAAACATATAAATGGAAATGCGTGCAAACTGGAAAGTTACAACTTCGTTGTACGGAACCAAAGGTAACAACAGGTATCTTAAATCACAAGATAAAATGCGCAGTTAACTTAGAGTAACAAATGATTTGGTGACGACAGACATCCACGCATCACATGTAACTGCGTTCCTACCTGCCTTCAACAGCGAGGCCATGACTTCTGTTTTGGTTTGATGGTAGAGTGTCGGGATGGCCGTGTTGGTGAAATAGCATCGGGGTGGGATGGTGTATCTGGGCTCCAGTGTATGCAGCAGTGCTCGAAATCCCCGATTTTCCATGACGGAATAAGGACGCAAATCCTTGGCAATAAATGCCGCATTGGCCTTCGTAATTCACTTGGCCTTTTCAGATGAGGGTGGCAGCTTTCTAATTGCTTCCTCGATTGTTCTCTGGTCGGTAGCGCCACTAATAGCCGCAGCAACAACAGCCTGCCGTCTCCCTGACTCCTCCTTCAGGTGGAATCGAGTTACATGGCTTCTCATGTTTGTTGTGTTGCCAAAGTATTTTATTTTAGCACGACACAGCTTACATATAATGTGGCTCTTGTCCAGTTCGCTTGCGCCGTCAACGTTGTAGAAGCCGAAGTATTTCCACACGTCTGCTTTTAAATTAGAAGGAGCTGTTTGGATCTCACGGCGAGGTGGGTGGCGGTCAGCCATGTTTGTTTTCCTCTGTGCGTGTGTCGGCATGTCTGCTCCAGGTGCACATCCCAAAGTGTCTCGGAGATGACGCGTACTGCGCTTCTTAGTTCCGCATCATTTAGAACCTTCTGTATTACTCCAATTAATCGAAATTTGGACGTTTGTGAATCGATTCAGATTTGTCCACGTCCAAATCGCGATGCATCTAAGAATCGGAAATTTCCCCCACCCCTAGTTAGTATAATAGCCACATTGATTTTTTTTAAAAATATTAACTATAACATGTTTATTAGTATATTTTATATACTTTATACTATGAGTATGTAGTATGGAGTGGAGACACAGCACTAGTCTTAAAACTTAAATAGTTTTATTAGAATGATGTTTTGATATCTGGTAATGCAGTTGTGAGCCATGGTGAGAATGAAGAGTCAGGTGTGGGGAAAAAAGCACCGATGAGCAAAGGTGCCAGAAAAATCAATGTACCAATAGGACTTTTTATAAGACTCCCTGCCTCATTTTGCTATAACATCTAAAATGTGTGTAAAGATGACAAAACAATAGCAATCAAATGTTTATTGTGACGGATTATCTGTGTCAGTCAAGTGTCACATCTCAGTAAGGTAAATTCCAAATCATATTTGAGATAACAGAACACTAAGGCAACATGAAAGAAATCACTTAAAATATTGTAATGAGCTTACAACATCAAAAAAAAAAGAAAAAAAAGAAAGAAAAAAATCAGTATGGTCGTTTGTGTTGAGAATAAAAAAAGGAAAAGAAAAAAATGAATCGAATTAAGTACATTCAGTGTTTCCCTCAGGATGTAGTTGTAGCAGCAGAGGTGAAGCATGGGCATGTAAAAAAATTTTCACACGTGCAAAACTTTTTGTACGCTTGCAAAGCACAGCCTGCTGGGATGTTTCTATGTATCTACTGACACCAGAAGGGCTCTTTAGGACTAAGTGCACACAGTACATTTGTGCACAGTAATGAGCTGGTGAAATGTCCGTCTAGCTTACATATGAGGTGTCTCAAGATTTAGGATAATACAATTTTGTTGAACATAATAAAAGTATAATCTTTAAAACAATTGACATTCATTGAACGAACGTCAGTTGAATAATAATACCCCTCCAGCTGATCTATGAGAAATGACGCTACCTCCAGAGGGTCCGACTCATTCATTCTTCTTTACAACCCCACGCTGGGCTTCAGACTAACTTTTTTTTAGTAGGAGCACTGTAGCCCTAACTGAACAATTTTAGGAGCAGAAGCAGAAAATTTAGGGGCACGCCTTAAAACCTCCTGCAATGCAGTTATTCACATTTTTGGCCATTTTAACTGTATCATAAACTATATGTAATCTACTATATATTAACATTGGACGGTTTTAATTATTAAATTATTAAGCATTACACAGACTTGTGGTCAGTGGGATGTGAGGATTCTTAAAGTAGCATCTGTACAGATGTGAAGCCCTGACTATATCAACTGATCTTTAATCAAAACTGTTTTTTCCCCCTCTGAAAATATTAACCTTATAGTCAGACACAATTTATTTAGGCTATGTAGTTGTAGTCTGCAGCAGCAAACTGATATAACTGTGTATAATTGATAGTTAGGTCTATTAAAATGTTGCTTGAAATGTATAGGCTAGAAATAATATTCAACCACATTATGATACAGAAATATGTATAAATCTAGGCTGTAGAGGGACTGAAAATACATTTTATTATTGCAGCCTAACAGGCTGTGCAGTCTAACAGGCTGAAAAATGTCTGAAAAATCAACAGAAGAAGGCCAGTAATGCCCAGTTTATTGAGTTATAGTACTTAATTACAAACATTTCTGGTGTGTCGCCTGTTATACAGAGATGTATTAATACATTTTTGTTCAGTCACCAAAAAGGCTATACGTGGGATTTATATCTTGTTATCTGCAGGGACAGATGAGTAGGCACTGTTCATCAACTTATATGACAGCAGTGAAAATTTAACGTTTCCACAGCAAGCGGGTAAAACGATCTTGAGGGCTGTCAGTCAGTTGCATGCAGTCTCTGCCCTTGCAGATTTTACGTTATGTCAGTAAACACTTCACACTACGTACTGCTGAAGTTTGCAAGGGTTCAGTCCGCAAAACCTGACCGCAGCTTGTCACCGCCTCGGTGCAGTTCATCTGGAATGAGCCTACTGATGAGTGAAGGTGACGTGATCCTCGCAGTTACCATCACTCACTCTCTGACTCTCCCCCTTCTCACACACATTAACCTACACTGGCGGACTCGCTCCCCTGTTTTACAACATGAAATAAAAACGCCCGCAAATTTGCAGGTCACGCACGAGCTAGTAGCTGTAAAAAATACTCGCACTGACTCCAGAAATGGTGACTATTCGGTCGCAGCCTAGAGCCCCCCCATGCATTTTAAAATCCTTCCTAGTGTAAGTGTATTTATCACAATATCATCCACTTTGCTCATAACAGCGGAATCTTGCCATGCCTCAACCCAAGCATGAAGTAGAACTTCTCCGCACAGCGTTTCCTCATTCAGACATAAGTCTCACATTATAACAATGTAAGTCATCACGTTATAAGGTGAAATGTTTAACCGTATAACAGATAAATAGTAGGCTATATTGTTATGTTATTATATGAAGCGTCCGTCGCGCAAAATAATATAACTTTAGTTTATGAAGAGATAAGATGGAGCCCTCTCCTCTTATATGCTTTACTCACAAGTGTGCAAATTGACCTGGATATGTAGCACTAAATAATATAAGCAGTAGTTTCTAAAGAGCTAAGACGAAAAAAAGAAAAAAATAAATCAGCAGCAGCAGTCATATTTCAGCAGTGGTGCGCTGCTGCTAGTTGCATATAGGGGAAACACTGACATTACCATGAACCATAAACCTTGCATACCTGAGCCTCCAGTCAAAAACAATGCACACTTTGACTGTATACAAGTTATTTACCAGCTATTCTTGATTGTTAACTCTCCTACAAACATACATTGGGCTAGTAAACTAATGTATTTATCAGAATTTGAATGATAGAGTTGTATTAGGTATGTTGGGCGGTATTGTTGTATACATTTTGTCCACACTCTGTTCTTTCTTTCAAACTACAGGCATATACCGGAGCTCCACTCACTGATGAAAAAGAGAAGATAATTTGGGTTCGATTTGACAAAGCTGACGTCAATGGTAAGTCTAGCCTCTTTTAAACTGTCTGTTCAAGGTGGGAACATTGCACTGTTATGTTGCCTTGCCATTCTGTATATAAGGTAAGAAAGGGGGGACAGAGTGGTCTTGCCTCTGAGCTAGGAACAGAGGTAGTAACAGCACTAAAAAAAGGTCCGTGTAAAATGTAGAGCTGGAAAGATATGACCAGGTGGGGCGGAGGTGTGACATTTTGATTACGTGTTATTTTGGCAGCCACACTAAAGGAGATTTTAAAAAACAGCTACTTCCAATTAGCAGCAAACTCAAAGGAAAGAACAGTGGCTGTAAATGTCTACAAATTGGGAAAGCAATGACATTTGGGAGCACCTTATCCTCTGAGCAGAGGATGAGACCAGCCGTCATATAACAGAGAATGTGAATGCAGTGCGGGTGGAACTCTTCATTAGTTCTTTTTTCCTCAGCAGCAATTTCAGGTGGATAACTGATTGGTCCATGTGATCAAAACTGATCTGATCAGATTGATGGATGTACAGTAGCTCTTGCAGTTGTGAGTGAATGCAAACTTTTGGACCCAGTGCAATGAACAGTTAAGTTTCACTTCCACTGAGCCTGCCATTCTGCTGCTCTGTCAGTGCCCTGAGTACACTCCCTGCTCTGAAAGTGTGGTGCAATGAATAACCGAATGGTATTTGTATTCCAGTAGCGCTTCTAATGAATGGTACACCTCCAAAAATAAATAAAATCAATTTGTGGCGCCAGATGTTATTGTGGTGGGCCTCAACAAATAAATTAATGTGTGGGAAAACCTGTAAACTTTATTGTTTTTGTTAATATACACTAATTCTGAATTTGATGCCTGCAACACGTTCCAAAAATAGTTGGGATGGGGCAACAAAAGACTGGAAAAGTTGTGGAATGTTCAAAAAACCTCTGTTTGGAACATTTCACAAGTGCAGAAGTTAGTTGGTTACAGGTGATAGGATCATGATGGTGTATGAAAGGGGCATCCTCAAAAGGCCCAGTTGTTCACATGCAAGTATAGCCTGAGGTTCCCCACTTTGTGAGAGACCCTTTGTGGGCAAGCAGGTCAACAGTTTCTAAAAGCACAGTTGCAGGGAATTTATTAATTTTACCATCTACAATCCATAATATTATCAGAAGATTCAGAGGATCCAGAGAAATCTCTGCATAAAAAGGGCAAGACTGAAAACCAACATTGAATGCCTATAATTGTGATCCCTCAGATGGCACTGTATTAAAAACTGACATGATGGAATAAAGGATATTACTACATCGGCAACACATCCTCCACTTAAACTTCACCAAATGTCTCACTTTCTGTTTGAACAGATACTGCCCGCAATCCAGAGTTTATGGAGATGCACAGTGGTACTACCGACCCTCCTCTTTGCCTCATGATTGGCTACGCTGACGGGATGCAGATCTGGAGCGTATCTGTAAGTCACATGCCTAATGGGCCCGTAAAACTGCTACCTCACCATTTTCTTCTTGGAACTTTTATGCCATCAGTTTCATTTCAATGATAAATTCAAATGGACATGTGTGCTGAAACACTCTAACCTTGTTAGTTAGTTCACTATAGATTAATGTTTGGCTACAGCTCTTTTGTACAAGTGCGAAGGGGCTAATTGACTCTCAAAAGCAAGGGCGGACTTTACTATAAGGCTTAGGTAGGCAACTGCCTGAGGCCCCGGTGGGGAGTCCTCCTTGGGGGGCCCCCAACAGTCAGCCCACCCCCACTATGAAAAATTCATTAACATGGTCAAGCTTACTTATAACTATTTCATAAAAAACATATATATCAAAGTAGCATCAGCATATCTAATTCATGAGTGGTTGGTATCTGTCTCGCCACTCCACCCCTCCATCACACTACAATGGACTATTCCATGACCTTCAACCCGGAAAGATGAATGCAGGTGACGTGAGGTAAACAGAGAAAAGTGCGAGAGAAATAGGCTACTAACCTGAGAGAAAAATGAAGCGACTCTCAAGCGGTTGGGATAAAAAGAAAAAAAGAGAGGATGCTAAAAAATATATTGCAGCACTGCCTAAATTACAAGCTTTTTTTACTGCCCCAACAACTGGATATGATGCTGAAACCGACAACAACATCAGCGTTGATGAAGATGCAGCTTGCGGTAGCAACTCAGAGCTAACATCACCGTTGCCAGTTACAACCGCTGACAGCCCAGGTGAGATGACTTGGACAAATACAGTGGACAAGGACAATGACAATGATGACAACCACGATGAGGATGAGCAGCGACCCATGGATGGCCACTCTGCTCAATAGTGCGCAAAGGTCCGGTCCAGTGACAAATAGAGTTCCCCAAAGGTCAAGATGGCCGTAGATTTACAAGCAGCAATTACTTTGCTGTATGACTTTTAGTCATGTTATGAATACTATATAAATCTTTACCATGGCAGTAATTACTTTGTGGTAATATTGATATAGATCTGGGTTTTATCTTAGAAAAATGAACATTGCTGACATCTTGGCAAAGATACATGGTCATGTTGGCAACCATGCAGCGCCGGTACAGGACCCAGGTATTCAGTGCGGCCATGTCCAGTACATTATAAAATAACATGAAAGCGCTCAAATGGTCATCAATATTGCGGCGTGCATGTGCAGTTGGGCCAGGTACTTAAGTCAAGATGTTCTATGACTGCGCTCTCCCAGTGCGTAATCCCGGCTGTTTATGCTTTCACACAGTCCCATCTTTTCCAGCTGCATGGCCCTCACACAGATCTGGTTGATTCGACACTATACAAAATAAATAAAATTTGTTTCGCAGTGATCTTGCTTGAAACCAAGCACCTTCACATATATAT